AAGTAATTCTCATCTCCTGCAGCTTTCACACAGGAAATTGTTCAGTGTAAGTAACTGTGAGTTGGACAAAGGCTTTTGATATTGTAAAGGAACCTCACTCTAGTCTTCAATAATTCTTTACCTACAAAAATAATTTGTCAGCATAATGGGTACTGTGTCAACCCCATGGGTGTCACCTAGTAGGCACTTTATAATCCTGCCAACGTAATGATTAAAATGTACTAGAAAATTGAATCAATCCATCAGTAGTACTCTATTCCTAGTGAGACTTGCAGTTCTTTATATCCACAAAATGCTTCTTTCTTCAATTTGCACTGGAACCTCCAACCCAATAATTAGAAGTGTACAGATAGGGATGTATGAAGGCAGTGGATGTGAACAGCCTGGAAGTGGAGTTTTGCAGCAGATTCTGGACATGTAACCTGTCCCTCATGACTGCATAAAGAGGAGAGGTGCTGGTGGGCATAGAAAGCAGCAAAGGGGACATTGCAGGAACAGTTCATCAGAAGAAGAAGAGGACAGGAAGGAAGGAGAGCCATCAGCAGAAATCCAGATTTTGGGAGCCTGGTCACTAACCAGCACTGGAGCAAAGGCAAGGAAGGTGATAAGGTGGAGGCTTAGGGGATCCCCAAGAAGGTATTAGTATATATACTGTATATTTTTTTTTACAAAACTTAAATTTTATTGGACGTGAAACCACCCACAGAGGTATAATCCCGAACCACGACACCTCGCCCAACCGGGGTGTACATTTACGAACTCAAAGCTTCATTGTGAATCATTGCCAGGGCACCCAGGAAAGTGACGTATTCCTGGAAGTTCACCACTTGGTCCCCATTGCGGTCCAGATCTTTCATTAATGCCTGTATCTCTGCTTCCTGCAGTTTCAATGGTGAGCTCCTTCTGTATCAGCTCCTTCAACTCCTTCTTGCTTAGGGTGTTCTTATCGCCATCCTTGCTGGCGTATTTGTGGAAGATGACAACCAGCACGCCAATAGCTTGGTCAAGAGGTGCTGCCATGGTGAGAGATCAGAAGCAAGATGGTCCAGTGCTGAGTGGCAGGAAGTGATGGGGAACGTGGTCAGGTATTAGTATTGTTGTGAAATCCCTCTACACCTATACTTATAGCTCTGTGGTGGCCTGGGATTCCGATTCTGAGAGTGAACCGGAGGAATCCCAGCCGGCACAGGAGTCCCCGCCTCCAGGGCCGGCTGAACTGGGGCAAGGCCTAGATTCTGAGGAGCCTGCACCTGTGCCAGATCCTCAGGAGCAGGCACCAGGTGAATCCATTCTGGCCCCAGAGGTGCTTGAGGACTCAGTGTCTACAGGTGAGCTTCCCCCGGGACCCAGTAACCCTTCGGCCTCTCCTGAACTGCAGAGGCTTAGGGCAGAGAGGCGAAGGGAACTGGTTTCTCCCAGGAGGAGTGCTCGCCTTAAGGCCAGGAGAGGCGGGGCTCCTGGGGGCCAGGACCGCCCCTGGCCTTAGAGAAGATAAAGGCCAGTCAGCCCGGTTCCAGGTTGCGGGAGCAACGTTGTTATTGAAGAGCTGTTTCGGCCAGCATCCAGTCCTGTTCCTCCAGTGTTCCTGTTCCCCGCCCGGCTTCCTGCTTCTGACCTTCCAGCGTTCCTGTTCCCCATCCGGCTTCCTGCTTCTGATCTTTGAGTGTTCCTGTCCCCGGCCGGCTCCCTGCTTCGGACCTCGCCTTGCACCTTGTGGACTATTACCAGGCTAGTGACTCAGGACTGAACTTTGACTACGATAACAGTAACCTTCCCCCTGGGACCAGCACAAGCTCCCTGGAGGATCCCTATGATGAGTCGGGTCCTAAACTCTGCTGAAAGAGGTAAGGACCCTTCATGCCTTCTCTGAAGAGGTTAGTTGGGGCTCTGTAGGCTTTTCTCTTCATTTTGAACCCCCTATCTCAGGCATAGAAGCCAACCCCAAGGGCTCAAGGTCCCTTTGCCCCCACATAAAATATATGCCCCCCTCAAGTTGATGGGCATTGTCATTCAGATGGTATGTTTCTGCTGTGCCTTGTGATCAATTGTGCAGGGCACACCTGGGCTTCCCAATATTTTAGTCAAGTTGGCACCCATGCATTTCCGACACCATTCAGGTGTTTTTCCACAAGGGCTCATGCAGGATCACTCTGGAACGATATGAGTTGGAAAATACAGTCAGGGAAGTGGACAGACTTGATAGGCAGTTTTCCTCCCTCTGTTATAGTACTAGAACTTGAGGCCATTCAGCGAAGCTAAATGGTGGTAGGTTCAGGGCAGGCAAAAGAAGGCACTTACCAGGCATAGTTCGCTCCCACGAGACGTAGTGATGACTAGCAACTTGGACAGGTTTAGAAGAAGAGGAGACAAATTACTGGAGGATAAGGTTATCAATGGCCGGTAGAGACGGTGGCTGTGTTCCGCCTTCAGTGTCGGAGACAGTATGCTGGGAATCACAAATGGGGAGAGTGCTGTTGCACTCAGGTCCTTCTTGTGGCACTGTGAAAACAGGATGCTGAACTAGATGGGTCTTTAGTCTGACTCAGCAGGCCTCTTCTTAATTATGGTCTTATTTAAGTTCTTAGGTGGGCAGGTTGCATATCCTTTCCTCACCCCGCTAATCTAGTTCTTTCTCTATTTGTGAAAGGGGGGCAGGTTTCAGTGAGACATAGAAAAAGTGGCAAATAATTCACTTTCAGCTCTGCAAGCTTCTCACTGCTCGGAAAAGTTGGGGCAAATGTAATGGTATTAATGGTTAGACAACAAGGTATACAAGGGCAATTCCATAAGGCTGATCAATGACTTGGCATCAGTGATAAGCAACAAAAGCTAAATTGGTCTACTCTGCTGGCAAGGGATTATCAATGCCCACCACTTCTGCTGCCTCATCAAGAGCTAAAATATTTTTTCCTGGGAACCTGTGGGGTAGTATTTTGTCATTTTGTGTGTATGCACATACAATCAATCAATCAATCAATCAATCAATCAGTGAGTTACCATTTAAGAGGGCAGGTTCTTACTCAGAGAAGTTTACCATTTAAAATTCAGCGTAAAGGAAACAGAGGAAGGGGAGGAGGGGCAGAAGGTATAAATAGGGAAGCAATATGTGGTTGTTTCAGTTACGTATGCTTAGGTTTAGTTATAGCCCCTGTTACAGTAGGGCACGGAAGCACATAAATCAATATGAACATGGAAGCAATTATGCTATATAGAACCCCCTCCTCATCTTTAAACAGTCATTACATCTACCCAGGCCACATCTTTCACCTTCGCCTAAACGTCTTAAGAAATGGGAGCAGGAAAAGTGAGAATTGCTGGAAACCGATCCAAAAGCAGTTAGTATCTAGCTCAATTTATTTCAATAAAGAGCAGATCAATAGGGACCTAAAGCAGTCTGTCAATTTTTCTGTCACATTTATCAGAAATTCACTGACTTCAGTCTTTTTCTTGCTGGCCGCTTCTTCATGGAAACTATCCTCACACTCAGCATTAAAATTTGCTAGGCACTCTTACTGTGCTGAACGCTAAGCAACAATCTTCCCTCCGAAATGGTCTGTAGGCACTGTTTTCCTGAAGCAACAAGAAATGGCAGTATGCAGTGCAACTCAAAAATGCTTGCACCTTTAATAATATTTTAAAAATTTAAATATTAAAACAAACAAACCCAAAATCTTGCACATAAATACGTTAGGCCATAATTATTTAAAAGGGAAGATAAGTTCTGAGCCAAAATTGTCTGTATTATTTAACTATTTCCTATTTCCTGCTTCTTTTCCAAGTTAGTCCGAGTTAGCATGTGCTAGTGTTCACTTCTTGGCTCTAGCTCAGCCAAGTATAAAACCTACACTTCAAATGGCTTTGTTTGCCTTAATGAAGTTTAAGTTTGCTTTGTCTTTACAACCAGCAGCTTTGCCAGGCTATTTCTTTCTGCGCACTGCTGCACTAGATTTCCCAAATAGCAACACCAATCAGGTGTGACCATGTGGAGTCAGGCTCACCTCTAAGGCAGAGTTTTGACACTTGGAATGGCATATCCAACATGCATATTATATGAGAGGGGCCGCTGTCACCTTTCAACAACCCAGAAGGTGGAAGTAAAACCGTACTGTTCTTTTTTTCATGCTTTGTCATATTAAATTGACTTTGAGGACCAAAAACTACATGTCCCTTCCTTGCTTTCCAAAGATACAGTTCTTCAAATACCTAGAGAAGGCAGGAAAACAAAGGAAGACAAGAAGGGAAAAACACGTCCCCCTGCACATAAATTATTTCAGTGGTTAATGAGAAAAGAGTCTTCTAATGAAGCTCTCATCCGTGAAGATTGGAAAACAAACTGCAATGCATCCTCTTAGGTTCACAGCAAAATACGAACCTGTCACAAGGTAGAGAAATAGGTCGCGTGGAAGTTAATGGAAAACCATGAATGGAATACATTGTGTCACAATGCATCATCCCAATTAAGAGATTATAGTTAGAATTCTATTTACAGTGATTAATGTGCTTGATTGAATTGTGGGGTGTTGGTTTTGTTTTCTTATTTGTTTGAGTCGTTTCTGAAACTAGGATTGCTAACTCTAGAACTAAACATTTCTGGTATGGAGGGAAAGCTTGATGGATCTGATAATGGAGACATTGGGAAGAGTCCCATGAGAGTGAAGCCAAGAGTTTGTTATACTAAATGGGTACAACTAAAAAAAAACCCAGAGGTGGTGGAGAATCTGGCATTGCACCTCAAAAAATGTTACAGCAGGTGATTGGCAGGTAGGTGTCTCCACAAATCTGTTGCACGGTTACAAGACTCCAAAATAGACTTTATTCACTCTCTACAAGTTGGAGGGAGACTTTCTGAAGCAGGCGGCAGCTTCTGCTCATGGAAGCTCCAGGTATCTGACATAGAATCCCCACTTCAGACAGTTGTCTGCACAACTCATTGGAGACAGAAACAGCAATGCAAAGGAGACAAAACTAGCTCACTAATCCCTGCTCTCCACATTCACACATTGTATTTCCAAATTTGTTTTCACACCAGATGTTTTGGACTACAACTCAACTGGCTGGGGCTGATGAGAACTGTAGTCCCAAAAATCTGGAAGGCACCAGGCTGGTGAAGGGCTGAGCTGGAGACTTTAGGTAGAAAGATGGCATAGTTTAAATGAAAGAGACCTGATCTGGAGAATGAGTCAGACATCTCACACTTGCCTTAGAATCACAGTGATGAATTTTTCCAGTGATACAACTCCTAGGTTTAGAAAAGGCAACAACTTTGTTCACCTGAGACGCACTTTCAACAATTTCTAACTGATTCAAGCAGAATTCTGTTGAAGGTTATGCAAAATTCACTTGAAGGTCAGCAAGACAGATCTGCATTTTTTAACTTTTTGTTTTTATTTTTTAAAGTATAAGAATAATTGTTAAATAACACCCACGCACCCACACCAAAGTGACATATTTTAATATGTTTTATATCATTCTACATTAATTGATACAAAATTGCTTGCTTTCTTGTTTTGCAAATTGATGGAATCCCAGGTTTCCTCACAGACCTTAAAATACAAAAATACAAAATTAGCCGTAAACTAATTTCCATCATGGATATTGATTTTTTTTAAAAAAAATCTGGTTCTCTGTCCTGCTTTGCAATGTACATGAGCTATTACAATGAATAAAACACAACAAACATCTTAAACGGCCATTCCATATCCGATGGCACCCACAGTTTGTTACCACCTGGCAATGATAGGACAGATGCTGGCTCACAGCAGTGATGTTATCTGTTTGCATCAGCCAATAGAGGCCATGCTTGCATCCATGCAACCCAGGGGAGTATCTGCCACCATTTCTCATGTCAAGTGCAGCTTTGGATGAGGCCCTGAGCTTGTTTATGAATTCCTAGTACATTCTCTTGACAAACCTTTCCTGTCACAAGCTGGAAAAAGTATGTGCTAAATGCCCCTCTAAAGTGCCTCCAAATGGATTTTCTACTCTGTTAATATTTTAGTACCCTTTACAATACACATCATTAAATGTGTGCACTTTGTAAAACTATGAATAAGAGTGTGTATAACTCCATGCATTTCATACTAAATGTAACTGATTTTTTTCTACACTGCAGAAGTAGTGGTCTGTTACTCGAAACAGCCACTCCTCTGGAGGGATGCTCAGCACAGTCCATATATCTTAGTTTCTTCCTTGCAAATGGAAACTGTCATAGTGTAGATGATGCTCGTCCCCGTCCCCCCCTTAAGCACACTCTCTCAAAATAATTCATTCTTGGGGTTTATTGTACTGCGTGCTATCATTAAATGAGCACCTGGATGATAGATGATTTGAAGGTAATTTGTTTTATACTGTATTGTATTGTTATTTAACCTGTTAGCTTTCTTGTGTTTCCTTAGAAAATAACATGGAAAACAAAACAAAAAAGTTATACAATAAATAGAATAATAATGATAACAGGCAGGGTTATGTTTGAAATGTTTCACAATAAATGAGAACTGAGTTAGAGCAGGAACTCTTTGCTTTAGCTTTGAGATTTTGGGGGGTGGTTGTTGACACAGTGGTGCTCAACCCACACTATTTTAAAACGTTAAGTGTTCCTACGTTAAGAGAGCCAGTGTGGTGTAGTGGTTAAGAGCGGTGGACTTGTAATCTGGTGAACTGGGTTCGATTCCCTGCTCCTCCACATGCAGCTGCTGGGTGACCTTGGGCTAGTCACACTTCTCTGAAGTCTCTCAGCCCCACTCACCTCACAGAGTGTTTGTTGTGGGGGAGGAAGGGAAAGGAGAATGTTAGCCGCTTTGAGACTCCTTAGGGTAGTGATAAAGTGGGATATCAAATCCAAACTCTTCTTCTTCTTCTTCTTCTTCTTCTACTGACTTCTGAGGGTAGTTCTTTCTTCCATTCAAAATTCAGAATTTAAAATTCACTTCAAGCATCCCCACCCCCACCCCCCACCCCACTGCTGAGGACAACCATGAAGAAAAGTGAAATCCTATATTCTTTAAAGACAAATATTTCAGTTTGATAAAATTAATTGTAGCTGCTGCTTCTTTGCCTCCTGTCATGAGGAATTTCTGTCAGGAGGTGATTATATAGATGTGAAAAAAGAGATATACAGATGACCTGTATCATTGGAGAATGCAGCATCAGCATCGGAAGATCGTCGTTTTTTTGGCTGGTCATAGGGAGACTGACAGAGCATCCAAGTGGAAAGGTTTCTAAGATAGTGTCTCTTCTTCAGTGGAGCACAAGGAGATGATAATAAGCTGATTGGATGCAATATACCCCCCACTGAAAAAAAGTCCAACTACTGCTATAGAGCAGAATGGATATGGATTGCTTCCAGTATCTCTTTACTTGGTCAGCAAAGAAATGATTGTTCAAACTTTGTCAGTGGACCTATGGTGCAACTCTTTTTGTGTGTGTGTAAAATGTAGCTGTACAAAGGTACCAAGGCAGTGGTGGGGAGAGAGAAGGAGAGAGCATGTTTAAGTAGAAAAACAAACCACTGAAATACTGACATAGCAGTTCAAGAGATCTGCCCTGCAGCAAATAAGAAGATGAGTGTTTAATGAAAGCTAAGATCCAGCTTAAATGGAATTAACGCATTAGTAAGTGGAGAGAAATCATGTCAGCTCCTTGTTCGCGTCTATCATAGTTAAGCATAACTTTAGCAATGGCCACTCCAAATCTTTTGTGCTATTGTATTTTATTTGGAACAGTATTTTAAAAAACACAAAAACCCGCATGTAATGAATTCCTTTAATTCTTATTAAAGGGGGAGTGCCCTGTATCACAAGCAGTGGTTGTGGCTATCGGTTCCTGCATTTAAGGTACAAATATTTAGGAGGATGGGAAAATCAGATACCATGAAGTATCCTATTAATTTGAACCAGCTCTGCTGTCTAGTGTTAAAGTTCCTCAGAAAGACTCATTACGTGTCATAAAGATGTATAGGTATCCTCTTCTTAATAAGATGGAAAATAGCAAGGGACTGGAAGTCCAAGGTTACATGATACAGAGATGGTTTACCATGATTTGGCAACCAGGCTTGGCAGAAAAGCTTACCTGTCAGAGCAGACTGGCAATTGTAATTCTTGAAACATGGTTTCCTGTTCTTACCTATGTCAATGGAAAAACATCACAATTTACTTATTTATTTTACTAAATTTCTATACCAGCCTTCATCCAAAGATCACAGGGTGGTTTACAGCATAGAAATACAAAATAAGAACACAAAATGCACCACCACCACAACAACAACAGTAACCAATAATTGTTTGTACCACAAAAACATTTAAAGTCCATAGGTTGTTTAATCAGCCAAAGGCATGGTTATAAAGGAACACTTTTGCCTGGCAACTCACAAATCTCACACATCTCTTTCTGGAGGGATTTATTTACCTGAGCAGTTAGAAATGGGTTTTTTTAATTATCTGTAGCAATTAATGATCACATACACTCATTCACATAAATTGCAAATTCTACTTGTTAATGTTTAAAATTGTCATTGAGCATTTATCATTGATGAGCAAAATAAGCAATATAAACATTTATTAAAAAAATCAAATAAGGAAGCAAAACCAAACTAAACATCCACAGCCACCATTTTAAGATAGACCTGCTGGTGGATGGATTGAGTGGTATCCCATGTACAGTGCCCCTCCCTCAAAAAAGTCACCTGTTCTCCATATTTTCATTTTCGTTTTGTTAAGATCAATATTATAATTTATGTTTTGTCTACATTTCCCCTCTTTCCCCTCTCCCTTCATCCCATGAACATGGTCTGCTTCTATTGAGAAACCTCTGCCACATTTTTGTCATTTAAAACTGTATTCACTGCCCTCAGTTCAGGACAGGGCGAGGCAGGAATAAATCTGAATTATTATTTAACTGTTCGATGTATTAATGAATGGTGCACTATTGCCACTTATATTTGTTTCCTAGGAAACCAGCTTGAAAAGTACTATTTGCCTAACATCAGGAGGTGCTGGGTTTGCTATGTGCATGAAACAAAAACATGGTATGAAAGAAAATCAAAATTTACAATTTAGCTTGAAAAAAAGAAAGAAGGAAATTATAGTGATCAAAGCATGTGTACTGAAATACAATTTTTCTTGGAAGAGCACTTGAGATTTGATTATCTTAAAACATGATAAAGGGTCTTTGTGTGACCTCAAAACTGAATGCTAATTATGATTTTTAAAAACCTGATTTATAGTTAATTAAGATCAACCATATTTTTCCCCCCACAAAGCAATTATGACTCTGTTCACTAGATGAAAGCTAGTATAATTACAGACCATTCTAAAAAAATTACAGTTTCTTCAGTGTGTTTGGCTCTTGGTAGAATGGCATTATGTAAAGCTATCCAATACTGCTTGGTAATAGCAACCCATGAAGAATCTGCTTCCCTGTCTAATGCATTGCATAGCCATGTTTGGAAAAACCAGCCACAACCCTTCTCCAGAAAATCAATACTGTGTGGGCTTATTTCCTTGAGTGTAATAATTGCTGCAGACCCCAGGCTGTTGTGCTGACCACTTTGAAAGATTCACAATGATCAGCTCTACATTTCTATTCATTAGCCACAAACGTAACAGTATGCCAGGCCAATAAAGGCCACAATTACTCAGGCATCAATCCACAAAGCTTTTCTTGAAGAAAGATAAAAGTCAATAAGAAAAGTTAACTGTGGGTGTGTGGCAACAGGGTGTATACTGAATGACTGGCTAAAAAACATGGTTTTATTTTCCAAGAAAGTTACAGGAGCTGGATAGGTGTTCTTGATCTCCGAAGCCTTTTAAATGCAAAACTGCCAACACTGGTGAGTAAAGAACTAAGAAAAAACTGAAATAGCACATGTCACAATTTTGGACTGCAGTATCCAATTGAAAGCTGCCATTTAAGGAACAGGAACTACCGTAAGTGTGGATAGTGGGAGACGTGGAGCCAGTTTAGCCTCTGTATCATTGTGATGCTTTGCCTTACTTTCTTAGCATTGCTTACCCAGTACACAGCAGTGTTCAATTTGTGGCCAGCCTGTAGCTGTTGAGCTCTATTAATTGGTGACCCAACTCCTGTGTTTGAAGCCTGAACCAAGTTGCATGTTCTGAACATGCAAAGTTGTGATGTTATATTGCATTCCAGACTATCCTCTGGGTTCTCATGGAAATGTTTGCATAGTTACTTTGCAGGGATGGGGACACACATCTCTCAGCAATCACCAAGATGAGTGACACCAGCATCACACTACAGGTGCAAGGCTCTCCATTCCTCCTGAATACGCAAACTGTTGAGTGCTTTGTATACTAATAGTGACCCCTTGAACTTGGCTAGGTTCAAGGGTTCTATTCTACGTAACTGTATAGATAAATTTAAAAAAATTAAAAATGCAGTAACAAAAAAGTTGGTAAAATGTCAAAAACATACAGTAAGCAAAAAGATAATGTGCATTATTCCTTCACTTTCATGATTTCTAAGTCCATCTTTATTTTTCAAGCTCCTGGTGATGCATTTCATATTTGTGGGTACCACTAATTTCTCCAAAATAGCATTGCAAGAAGGTGGTATTTAATATGAACACAAGCTTGATATCTGCTATGTTTATGGAATGGAGCTACTGAAAACATTTAAAAAGGTAAAGGGACCCCTGACTGTTAGGTCCAGTCACGGACGACTCTGGGGTTGTGGCGCTCATCTTGGTTTACTGGCCAAGGGAGCCGGCGTACAGCATGACTAAGCCGCTTTTGGCAAACCAGAGCACCTCACGGAAATGCTGTTTACCTTCCCGCCGGAGCGGTTCCTATTTATCTACTTGCACTTTGACATGCTTTCGAACTGCTAGGTTGGCAGGATCAGGGACCAAGCAATGGGAGCTCACCCCGTCACGGGGATTTGAACTGCCGACCTTCTGATTGGCAAGCCCTAGGCTCTGTGGTTTAGACCACAGCGCCCCCCATGTCCCCAGCGCCACCCGTGTCCCACTGAAAGCATTTAAGAGGCACCAGTAAAGACCTTTGAGGTGCCATGGTGCCACCACCATAGAGTCTCTTGACTTGACAGTCCAAATGGTTAAGTAACCCAAAGAACAATCACATCTACAGCATAGTTATGTCTACTATGGGGCAAACAATTGTACCCAGCTAAAGCACAATATTTTAAATATTTGCAAGTGCTGAGGGACTATGTAGTGTATGACAATAGAGGCAATGATGATGATGATATAGAAAGGGTCCAATATGAAGATCCAAATTTATGTTTTTATATGAAATATTTGGGGCCCATGTCCAATTATCATCTAATAGGTGGTACAGAAGCATGTCATCCATGGGAGCTCATAGTAGAAACTAAAATAGCTAAGTGCACCAAAATACATAAATGAAAATAGCATCTTGCAGAAAACATTTCATCCACCTACATGAAACTATGTTTTACCTGAACTCCATTCATAAGCAGATAGCCCATGATCGAAATACAGTTTTCCAGAAGAGTTATAACCCCAGCCTCATGTTCAAACGGATTACTTCACGCACCTTTGACATGAAGGCATTAATGAGATGAAAAGGAAAATTATCTCACTACTCCATCAATTACTACAGGTGCCTGTAGTCTGCTAAGTGCCTTTTACCTTCTTCGCAGTATGATCAAGTCTATTTGAAAAATCACATTAGGTTAAAATTGAGCTGCATTAATAACATGTTAATGCGCCCTTGAAATGTTTACCCAGGATTTTAAGAGCAAAAAGTAGAAGCTCTAAAATACCATGAAGGCAGCTTATTTTTTTAAAAAAACGATCTCCAGTTCTATCATGAATGAACCTCACTTCATGTATTTAACCTAGACACAACATTTTATGCCATAATAAATCTGATACCAGCTAAATCTGATATTTTTAGTGATCATAGCAAAAATAAAGTACTAATACATCTACCATTAATCCAGAATGCGGCAGCTAGACTGGTGACTGGGAGTGGTCGCCGAGACCATATAACACCGGTCCTGAAAAGACCTACATTAGCTCCCAGTACATGTCTGAGCACAATTCAAAGTGCTGGTGCTGACCTTTAAAGCCCTAAACGGCCTCGGCCCAGTGTACCTGAAGGAACGTCTCCATCGTTCTGCTCGGACACTGAGGTCCAGCGCTGAGGGCCTTCTGGCGGTTCCCTCACTGTGAGAAATGAGGTTACAGGGAACTAGATAGAGGGCCTTTTAGGTAGTGGCGCCCGTCCTGTGGAACACCCTCCTACCAGATGTCAAGGAAATAAACAACTATCTGACTTTTAGAAGATATCTGAAGGCAACCCTGTTTAGGGAAGTTTTTAATGTTTGGTGTTTTATCCTGTTTTTAATATTCTGTTGGAAGCCACCCAGAATGGCTGGGGAGGTCTGGCCAGATGGGCGGGGTATAAGTAATAAATCAATCATCTACATCATCATCATCATCATCATCATCATCATCATCATCATCTCACATTCTCCAGCAATGCAGAGCTCTACAGCCTATGTACCAAGGGTGGGAAATCTGTGACCCTCCAGATGTTTCTGGACTCCGGCTTCAACCAGCTCCAGTCAAAAGGGCAGATGGTTTGGGAAGATGAGACATGTAACATCTTGGGGGCTACAGGTGTCCCAACCTCTCCTATATACAAACCTTGGTATCTGAGCCCCATGGTTCCCCAAAGGCACATATGCCATTAGGGAGGGGGTTGAAAATAAAACTGTTGATATCATAACACTATCAAACAGTTCTATGATGCCAGCACACTTGGATCACTGTGTAAAGCTCTGGTTGCCTCACTCAGAAAGGTTATTGCAGAGCTGGAAAAGGTTAAGAAAATGCAACCAACTCTTGTGGCTTTTTAGTTTAGAAAGAAGGTGAACATAGGGTAGTGGTGGTGATAGAGGTTTATAATATTATGCATAGTGTGGAGAAAGTAGTTAAGGAGAAGTGCTTGGGGCCAACCAATGAAGTGGATGTTGGTAGATCATGGATAGGCAAACCTCTTCGCAAACACTCTACCAAAAGATGTAGCGATGGCTACCAACTCGGATGGCTTTAAGAGAGGATTAGGCAAATTTGAGGTGGGTAAGGCTATCAATATCAACAACCTCAGATATGCAGATGACACAACCTTGATGGCAGAAAGTGAGGAGGAATTAAAGAACCTTTTATTGAGGGTGAAAGAGGAGAGCGCAAAATATGGTCCGAAGCTCAACATCAAAAAAACGAAGATCATGGCCACTGGGCCCATCACCTCCTGGCAAATAGAAGGGGAAGAAATGGAGGCAGTGAGAGATTTTACTTTCTTAGGCTCCATGATCACTGCAGATGGTGACAGCAGCCACGAAATTAAAAGACGCCTGCTTCTTGGGAGGAAAGCAATGACGAACCTAGAGAGCATCTTAAAAAGTAGAGACATCACCTTGCCAACAAAGGTCCGTATAGTAAAAGCTATGGTTTTCCCAGTAGTGATGTATGGAAGTGAGAGCTGGACCATAAAGAAGGCTGATTGCTGAAGAATTGATGCTTTTGAATTATGGTGCTGGAGGAGACTCTTGAGAGTCCCATGGACTGCAAGAAGATCAAACCTATCCATTCTGAAGGAAATCAGCCCTGAGTGCTCACTGGAAGGACAGATTGTGAAGCTGAGGCTCCAATACTTTGGTCACCTCATGAGAAGAGAAGACTCCCTGGAAAAGACCCTGATGTTGGGAAAGATGGAGGGCACAAGGAGAAGGGGACGACAGAGGACGAGATGGTTGGAAAGTGTTCTTGAAGCTACCAGCATGAGTTTGACCAAACTGCGGGAGGCAGTGGAAGACAGGAGTGCCTGGCGTGCTCTTGGTCCATGGGGTCACGAAGAGTTGAACACGACTAAACGACTAAACAACAACAACAACAAGGCTATCAATAACGACTAGTCATGTTGTTCTACCTCCACCGTCTGAGGCAGTATGCCTCTGTATACCAGTTGCTGAGAACTGCAGATGAGGACAGCACTGTTGCTTTTTGATCTTGCTTGTAAGCTTTTCACAAATGTTTGGTTGGCTGCTGTGAGAGCAGACTGCTGGACTTGATGGGCCTTTCGCCTGATCCAACATGCTAAACTCACATCAGTCAGAGGTGCCAGCTTCTCAAGATGATTGAGGGGGCCCAATGCGACGTTCTGAGGTCGCATGTGCGAGAAGCCAGGGGGTGGAGCCAAACGCCTTCTGAACTTTGAGGGGGTCTGCCCCCTAAAAACAACAACTGGGGGCCCAAAGTGCCTCAGCCTCCAGGAACTGGCACCTGTCAGGCATAGGCTGCTTAGAGAAGGGGACAAATTATATTTGATTTGGAGGAACAGATTACTTATTTATTGGAAAGTATTTCCTAACTGCCCTTCGTTAAAATATTCTAGGGCTGTGTACAAAAATGTCAATAGAACTAATCTCAAAACATATATTTTAAAACTAATAAAAACACAACAAAATACAAGATGACAAGAAGCAAATAAAAACCTGAAAATGTAAAAAATAAAAATAAAAATTGGAATATGCAGAAATTCCGAACACGCCTTGGGAAAGAGGATGATCTTCACCCGGCATTCAATTTCCCCATACTTCCTAATGCCCTTGTGCTTCCTTGGGGAATGGTGATGAGCTGCATTCACAAACCATCATCAGACAAGTGCTGCCCCTAGGCATGCCTTTGTAAAGGGCTGAAAACTGTTATATGACTGAACAATCTTCCTTTGTTATGGAGACTGGCCTAGATAGCTAGTTCCTCAATGGGAGTTAATGGTCAGGAAATAGTTGAGATATCTTGCTATGAGCACTTTAAATGGGGGAGGCTTGGAAGAAGCTACATCCCTTGACTCCCCCTCCCTGCATATAAAGGGAAGGGGCTGGTGTTAGAGGGTTTTGGTTAGTTTTTTATTTTCTATTTTGCAGAGAGACAGGAGAGCCTGATCTGAAGGCAAAAAGCAGCTGGAGCTGAAGATGCCTTTCCTCTTTCTTGAGATCTGAGGTGAGATAACAGATTGTATGCCTGGCAAGAGTGCATATGCACACATAGGCTCTAGTTGTATATTTGTAGATTGACAAAAAATAAAATAAAATGCTATCAGTCTCTTCCAATGCTGGGAAATCAAGGAAAAGCTCATAGCTGTCAACCGTCCCTTATTTGGCGGCAAACTCCTTTATTCCAGTGCCGTGTCTCGCTGCTGTACCTTATTGATGATGTCCCTTAAATTTCCCGGGTTTCAAAGGAAGCAGCTCCTCTCGGTCCCTCCCTGCCGGCCAGGGAGGCTCCAACTGTGTTGCTTGGCTGCGTTGCTCACCCAATAAGGAGTCTAAGAACGACTGGGGGGGTGGAGCTTGCATGCCTTGTGCCTGGCCACATTGCCTGGGGATTCGCCTTTGCTCAGCGCTTCCCAGCGGAGAAGTGACGGTGGTTTTCCTTGCTGCATCCCCTTTGCCGGGTTGCTGCGCTGTGGGGAACCACTGTTTGAGGCTTCGTTTGGCTGCTGGCTGGGCTCTTCCTTTGGCTCGGAGGGGCTCAGAAGTTGAACATACCTGTGCTCGGAATCGGATGGATACGTCATCGACGGCCCACTCACTCTTGCCGGGGAAAAGGTCTTTTTGGAGCGGGGGCACATGGTGGGGGGGGGAAGGAAAGGAGTTGGTTGAGTACAATGGCAGGTGGAGATCTTGTGTGGGGGGGGTTGGATTTGTTTTGGAGGCTCCTTCGATTGACTGTTATGGGGGAAAGGAAAGGAGCTGGTTGACTAAAATCCCTTATTTTCAAATCTGTAAGTTGACAGCTATGGAAAAGCTGCCCTGGAATTTTTCACTGCTTGGAGAATTGGGAAGCACCAAACCGTATCCTAGGCAATGACAGCACAATCCTATGCATGTCTACTCAGAAGCAAGTCCTATTGCTAAGTACTGGAAACATTTGGGTTATTGCTTTAAAACTTGAAGCAGATGGGGGAAAGAGATTTTTACTTTTTGCATAATAAAGAGTAACAAGGTTGGTGCGAGGGGTTGCTTGCAAAATGTGACATTTCCATTGATGTAACCCATAGCACAAACTTTTTCACAAAGATCTAACACCTTTGTTGTAGTTTTTTATAAAACACAACTCCTGCCGCTAGGTGTACTGCCAAGCAGAACACATCTGTTATAGCGCTGAATGTGCTGTGTTGATCTCCTATTGATTAACATGTCATTGATTTAAGTCCAATGATGGTTGAATGAGTAAGAGCTGCACAGCAGGGATGAGAAAAGCCAGGCTTTCATCTACACCAGTGTAGCTGAGCAGCTCCTGGGCCTTTTGCAGCCTTCAGGGTTTTTCCCATCTGTCCAGCCTGCTTGTTTGTCTTTTCTCCATGCTTTTTCCCATGAGAAAAGGCAGTTCAGTAGTAAACAGAGGAAGAAGCTGCCTTGTACCAGGTCAGATCATTGGTCCATCTAACTTAGCATTGTCAAAACCGACATGCAGCAGCTCTTCAGCTTTCAGGCAAGAGCCTTTTTCCAGCCCTGCCTAGAGATACCATGGATGTAACTGGGACTGTTTTTTTTTTGCATGCAAAGAATGAGCTCTACAACTGAGCTAATATTCCTCTTGAAAGAAATCCTGTGGCTGAATATTGTGCCATTTCCTGTGGGGTACTGATCAGTTTTTCTTTAAATACAAATGAGAGAGAGAGAGAGAGAGAGAGAGAGAGAAATTTGAACCTTGCAGACAGGGCAAGAACTTGACACCTGGTAGAAGTCTCTTTGCCTCAGAAAAACCGACCCATAGTTACCCTACCTGTGAAATTGACACATTTGGGTCAGTCTTCACTTCAACCTGGACAAATGTCAACTTTGCAATAAAGTTGTTGTTCCCATGTGTTTGATTTCCACATTTCCACTTCTGGACAGCTGCATTAACACAGGTTGCCCAAATCACATGGCTGCTCCCCACATCAGTATCAACCACCTCTGAGCAGGTAGAACAACTGCTGGAAGTAGTGGTGTGAACCATCACTCATGTGATAAGGAACTCCAGATGTTTATAACACACAATGAAGTAGCAGAAAAGGTAATGGCTGAGCGAGACTGAGCGTTCCGTACTATGCATGCTTATTTAGGAGTAACTCCACTATGGGTCAAAGCTGGGGAACTCTGGCCTCCTAGGTGACTCCAATTCACCTCATGAGCCCCAGCCAGCATGTTCAATGGGATGATGGAGTTGTTGTCCATGGAGGCCACGGGTTCCTCCTCTCTGCTGTAGATGATGCCAGTCTACCCACAAACATATCAGGTAAGTAATTTATAGTTACATTATTCCCGCCGTGCACATTGATAGGCTCAGCTAACTACTGAATTGGGGACCAGTTGTTCCCTAGTCACAATAGTTTTTATTTGGCCCCGGAAGGGAAGAGATCGTCTAGAAAGAACAAAGATTGAAAGGAGATGATTCCCTAATCTATAGCACAAGTTTAGAATTTTAACCATTTAAGGAACAGCCTAGACATCAGCTAAAGTGACGGCAGATTTCAGTTTATATTCACCATTGTTATAAAGGGGGCACATTGTAGCTATGCAAGTGTGTAGTAGCCAGTGTGGTGTAGTGGTTAAGAGCGGTAGTCTCGTAATCTGGGGAACCGGGTTCGCGTCTCCGCTCCTCCACATGCAGCTGCTGGGTGACCTTGGGCTAATCACACTTCTTTGAAGTCTCTCAGCCCCACTCACCTCACAGAGTGTTTGTTGTGGGGGAGGAAGGGAAAGGAGAATGTTAGCCGCTTTGAGACTCCTGAAGGGGAGTGAAAGGCGGGATATCAAATCCAAACTCTTCTTCTTCTTCTTCTTCTACAGTCTGAAAAACCCGCAGGATGAGGACAAATTAAAAGTCAAGTCTTCAATCAGTACACCATTTCCCTTTTTGGCCTCCATGTTTAATTTATATCAGCCAAGGATAGCCTAAGTTTGTCTACTGAAATGTCATTTGCACTCTTTACAAACCTTTGAATTTGTTCAAGAAGGTGAGGAGAAGATTAAATATCAAAGGTGGGTAAAAGGTTGAATGGCTTGAAAGGTTGAATGACAGTGTTTCCTAGGAGGTGGTGTGTGTGTGTGTGTGTGTGTGTGAGAGAGAGAGAGAGAGAGAGAGAGAATGTGAGTGAAAGTAAATTGGCTTGCAGGACAGGCCTCAGTATGAAGCAAAGTGAATCAATTGGTTCAGAAAGCAGGTTCCAGAGAGGGTGCTGTTTTCCTCCTCCAGAGTTGGATTTGTTTTAATTTTTAATTTCAAGTGCATTGGCAGAAATCCACAAGACCAACATTGGTGAGGGCAGTATTCTGGGCAATGTGGACAGTTGTCCTACTTTGCAGAAGGCAGCCCTCTCTCCATTAGAAGAGCTGTCAGAGGACAGTCTTGTATTTGGAGGGGTGCATTATTGGAAGGGCTACCCAGTCCAAGTCCATTTTAAAGATGAAATCATGGCAAGGGAAAGCAGGCACTTCAAAGTTGCCACTCAGCACCTGGACAACAGAGTGATTTGGCCTACATGCTACGTGGGTGGTGCTGTGGTTTAAACCACCAATCAGAAGGTCAGCATTTCTAATTTGTGCGATGGGGTGAGCTCCCATTGCTTTGTCCTAGCTCCTGCCAACCTAGCAGTTTGAAAGCATACCAGCACAAGTAGATAAATAGGTACCGCTGTGGCAGGAAGGTGAATGGAGTTGTGTGCCAGAAGTGGTTTAGTCATGCTGGCCACGACCCGGAAAAGCTGTATGAGGACAAACGCCGGCTCCCTCTGCCTTAAAGCAGAGATGAGCACTGCACCCCATTCAATGGGAATTAACTGTCCAGGGGTCTTTTACCTTATCTTTAACTTTACATGCTACAATCGTCTCCACTATGATGAAATGTCATATTTCTAGTTTAAATGATAGCAATTATTTATTGATCTGCAATTCTGCAAATATGACCTGTTGTCTTTTGGAGATGCCTTAGTGGCCATCCTTGAATGAAAGTACCTGGAATATAGGAATGACCTCAACAACTGATAGTCCCCACTGGTGTACCTTCTAGTTGCTCATGCCAGGTCACTGAGAACAAGGGAGCAACTGGAGGAGAAATCTGAAGAAGAGTCCTGGGAGAATAAATTTGTGACTATTGAGTCAGACCATTGCTCAGCTAATTCAGTGTTGTCCAATCTGATTGGCAGAGGAATTCCAAAGGACTCCTTCCAAGTCTGAAAAGGTCATGAGAAGGGAGGGAGGAAACAATAATTATAACATTTGTAATTGTTTCCCCCACCCTAGAACTCAGGAGATTGCCCCTTTTTATTTTCGCAACCATTTAATGATGTATGTTTTCACAATCGAGCCCAGTCCTTTCCTCTCCTCTTGGACTTTCTCTTCCTCTGCTGAATTCCCCGTCTTAGATTAGAGAGATGCAGCACAATGTTGCATGGAAAAAACTGTCTTGCATGCGGGAGGCGGGGGGAACAAGCCCTTTAAAAATTAAACTTTTCCTTACTGAAAGTGCATAACACATGAGGCGTTATTTTAAAAATACCTAGCTGAAAATGTGTTGAATTCTGGGTGTGAAACTGTTAATTAGTGAGAACTGGAATGCACATGGAGAAGTTACATTATTGGGAGAGATTCAAAGCAGATAGTGGGTGGCTGGGTCCATATTAGGTGCATGCGGGGAATTAAACCACCTTCTGCATGCCTTCTACTTGCCTAAAGAAACTGTACAGAATGGCGGACACTGTGTTGTAGGTAACACGTTAACATTTCTCCTTCCACATTTTCTTTCTAGCTTTTAACAGGAGAGTGGGAAGAAAGAGGACGGAAAGAGGTCCTGCCCCTTCAACTGCGGAGGCTAGGGAGGGGGAGGCAGGTCTGCTGGCTCATTGTCCTGCCCCTTCCATGGGTTGGAGAAATTCCCTAGCGAAGAGGTTGAATGCTGACCAGCCAGAAGGGAAGGCTAGACAGGTGGAGGAGCAAACTGAGGGGCTGACCTTCGTTCCACCACCAAGAATACAGCACTGCCTCTGCTTTAGGGAACAGACCCAGGTCCCTTGGAGAAAATCACACCTTCAAGTAAACCAGTCTCTTAGGGGGAGTGTCACAAGTGAGCGAGCTACATCTTGCCTTTAATAGATGGTGGGAGGGACATATCCATTGGTCAAAACATCTTTGCAGCTTTCATCCAGTCTCTGACTCTTGATACGGTTCTTGAACTCACTAGCTACCCCTTTCATGCTTTGCACCTATAGCCTGACCTGCACCATACCTAGCCTTGAATAAACTTTTCTTCCTACTCACACAGAAGAGCCTCAGTCATGGTGTTTGGGGCAGGAGCCGGGATGGACATTAAAGTAGTTATATATAAAAAAAGTGTAATCTAATATTAAATTTTGAAATGTTCACGGCATGTCCCAGTTTCTCACAACAAAGAACAGTTATATCTGCCATTAAAATATTGGCAAACTAAGCAACAATATCGGGAGGCGGGTGGTGCTGTGGGTTAAACTACAGAGCCTAGGACTTGCCGATCAGAAGGGCGGCGGTTCGAATCCCCACGACGGGGTGAGTTCCCGTTGCTCAGTCCCTGCTCCTGCCAACCTAGCAGTTTGAAAGCATGTCAAAGTGCAAGTAGATAAATAGGTACTACTCCGGCGGGAAGGTAAATGGCGTTTCCGTGCGCTGCTCTGGTTCGCCAGAAGCGGCTTAGTCATGCTGGCCACATGAATCATAGAATAGAATCATAGAATCATAGAGTTGGAAGAGACCACAAGGGCCATCGAGTCCAACCCCCTGCCAAGCAGGAAACACCATCAGAGCACTCCTGACATATGACCCAGAAGCTGTACGCCGGCTCCCTCGGCCAATAAAGCGAGATGAGCGCCGCAACCCCAGAGTTGGCCATGACTGGACCTAATGGTCAGGGGTCCCTTTACCTTTACCTTTTTAAGCAACAAAATAAACCTTATATAGTATTAGAACGAGTCTGATATATTTGGAGAGTGCAATACTCAGCAGAGGATGGCTCAGTTGGTAGAGCAGGAGACTCTTAATTTCAGGGTCATGGGTTCATGCCCCATATTGGGTTAGATTCCTGCATTGCAGGGGGCTGGACTAGATGATCCTTGTGGTCCCTTCCAACTCTATGATACTATGAATAACATAACACAGGATAAAACTCTTATCAGTCAAGCTAGTTGGGCAACATGTTGGGCAAACTAGCTCCATCTGAGGAAATTATATATTTTTTCTTATTGGAGGTTTAGACTTGGGGAATTTTTTAAAAAAGTCTGTCATGAAATGATGCTCTGTCTCATGGGAAAGGTATCCTTGGCACACACAGAGATCTTGATTGTTAGTAAAACAATTCTTTGAAGAGATTGTAACTGGAGGGTCAAATGAAACCTTTTCCAGACAAATTCTGGCTGGCAAAAGCTGCTGTGTTTATTTTGAATTTGATCCAGCAGTGCTTAAGAAGTAAGCACTGTTTATTAGCAAGATGTTTCAAACCAGATCTATTTCAGCTTTTAATACAAGTAATATGGATATTTGGCAAAATGTCAAGATGTATGAACCCAAATCAAAAGGTGTTCAAAGCAGAAGAAAAAGAAACTTGTTTCAGATTTACATTTGAAGCTGAATTTATCAAATTTGTACTTTCGCAAATAATAGAGAACCAAAACCATACTTTGAAATCCATACTTCCATCAGATTTTGCAATGCAGTTCTCCAATTAACCAATGTTTACAAAAAAGTACATATTAAGTAAAAGTGTACATAAAAATTAACATATTCATGAAAATAATATGTAAAAATGTGTCTGTTAGCTAAAGCTGTGTAGAAAAATGAATTTATTAGGAGAAATTCACACTAAAATGCTGGTGAATTTTCATAAGGATAAAAAAAAAGAAAATTCACAAATTGCGCAGAAATGTATAGAATCAAATTTAAGATGGAAAAAATTAGAAACCGAATGAATCAAAATTGACAGATCCTTCCATCCCTAGTAGCAATAGAGAGATCTATTCCCCACAGATCGCATACAGAGTGCATTATGGAAAGAGAATTCTCATGTTCCATAAATTATTGTTCTTCGTTGCATGGATTTCTAATGATCACGTTTCACTCAGAACCCTAATTACAAGTGACTGATATGGCTAACCTTTAGCTTCAATTAAACATGGATGTATGTGAAGGAAAAGGTACGCCAGGATGGCCAAATGGCTGACTGTCCTGACCTCAAGACACATTAGGCAGTATGTCCATCCTGTCAGCTAAATCCCTGTCCAACTCACACTCCATGTAAATTGATCTTTATTAACTTGACCACCAAAAAAACTCAGAAATGCTGATGATCAATATTTAGCTGTAGAAAAAGGGTGAACCTGGCTGAGATCAAAGAGATGGCATATGGATGAGGTTGCAAGGCCAGAGCCTTCAGGCTACAACTCAGCAGTAAAAAACAAGATCAGAGAGAGGGTTTTTTTCCTCAGGAGAAATTATTTAACGGCATTAGATATTCGGCTTAGGGACAAACAACATGATAATAGATACTAAGGCTTGATTAGTTGCTAAAGGATCAACAATGGGAAAACTAAAGCAGTTCTAAATACAGAGGACAATACAGTGGTACCCCGCAAGACGAATGCCTCGCAAGACGGAAAACCCGCAAGACGAAAGGGTTTTCTGTTTTGGAGGCGCTTCGCAAGACGAATTTCCCTATGGGCTTGCTTCGCAAGACGAAAGCCCATAGGGAAATCTCCGGGGACCTGTTTTAAATTGCTGGCGGTCGGGAGCAAAGACTTTCGCCCACAGCCGGCCTTCAGAAGAGGTCCTGGACCTCTTCTGAAGGCCGGCGGGGGGCAAAAGTCTTTGCTCCCCCCCGCCTGCCTTCCCGGGACAGCGGAGACTTCTCCGCTGCCCCGGGCGATCTTAAAATGCTGGCGGGCGGGAGCGAACGCTTCGCTCCCGACCCCCAGCATTTTAAAATCTTTGGGCGAGTGTCTGCAAGCCTCGCGCACCCGGCAGGAGGTCCCGCCGGGTGCGCGAGGCTTGGGGCGGCAGCCTGTCACCCGAAGCACGGGGAGCCCTCCGGAGGGCTTCCCCTGCTTCGGGCGAGTGTCAGCAAGCCTCGCGCACCCGGCAGGAGGTCCCACCGGGTGCGCGAGGCTTGGGGCGGCAGCCTGTCACCCGAAGCACGGGGAGCACTCCGGAGAGCTCCCCTTGCTTTGGGCGAGTGTCTGCAAGCCTCGCGCGCCCGGCAGGAGGTCCCGCCGGGTGCGCGAGGCTTGGGGCGGCAGCCTGTCACCCGAAGCACGGGGAGCCCTCCGGAGAGCTCCCCTTGCTTTGGGCGAGTGTCTGCAAGCCTCGCGCGCCCGGCAGGAGGTCCCGCCGGGTGCGCGAGGCTTGGGGCGGCAGCCTGTCGCCCGAAGCACGGGGAGCCCTCCGGAGGGCTTCCCCTGCTTCGGGCGAGTGTCAGCAAGCTTCGCGCGCCCGGCAGGAGGTCCCCGGAGCTTGCGGGGCGGGAGGTGGGAAGAAGGGCTTTTTTTCCCACCGCCAGCCTTCAGAACAGCCTTCTGAAGGCTGGCAGTGGGAAAAAAGCCCTTGTTCCCCCCCCCCCAGCCTTCAGAAGAGGTTGGGGGACAGACTGTCCCCGGACCTGGTCTGAAGGTGGTTTCCCTAGGAACGCATTAATTGATTTTCAATGCATTCCTATGGGAAACCGTGCATCGCAAGACGAAAAACTCGCAAGAAGAAAAAACTTGCGGAACGAATTAATTTCGTCTTGCGAGGCACCACTGTATAACAAAAGTGACATTTCAACTTTTTAAATTTTTGAGATTCATCTTGTCCAATACTATACTGTCTATGCTGATTAGCCAAAGCTCTCCGTGGTCTCAAGACATAGGCTTTTCCTGAAATTATTTTAAGTGACTGTGCCAGTAACTGGACCCTTGACTGTATGCATATAAAGCATGCACATTTCAATGAAACTATGGGACCTCCTTTTGGCAGCATCTAGCTGAAGCATAGAGGAGGCCTTTGTTTATAAGCTCAACAGCATTCATGAGCTGGTTGCCAAAGGTAATCTAAGGACATGGTGGAATGATGAACCTGAAACTAGAGTACTTGGACTGACATAAGCAACTGTTATAAAACTGCTGTGAGCATTCATATAAATAAAAATGTGTGGATTGGGTTCAGATATTGCAGGGTTCTTAAATAAAATCAATGAAGTGCTGAAAACAATTAACTGAGAACCAAAAACTATTCTGGCGAAGATTAATGTGAAGCAAATCAAAGTGCAAGCAGTAGAAAACTGATAAATGTTCTGAACTAATATATTTCTTACCTACATTTTTATTTAACGTAACTGTGTTTAAAAATAGTTTTTTACCACCTCTGTGTGGGCTTTTGCCATAATTGTAGCGCACTATCCTTATTTCTTAAGGGGGGAAAAATCACAGGAACAAAAGATTCCCTTGAGAATACTGTCAAGCTTGAGTTCTGGAAGTATTTCAGCTGCCCAGTATCCACACATTATTTCCACCAGGAATTTGATCCTAATCCTCAGTTCAATTACTGCAGCATAAGCAGAGGATCAAGTTCAGTAGCTGAAGTGGTATCTTATGGAAGCTAAGTAGGGTAGAATGATAAAAATCAGATACCAGTTACTTCTGAAAGCTCATTCTGTTCTCCCTTGTTCCATGCTAATTTCCAAATATACTGCCTTAAGTTGAATGGGGCTGCTCTTTTAACCAGTAGAAAGTCGCAGAAAGCACTAGCTTTTTCTTTTTTCATCACCCTCTTTGCTGCTGAAGCATAGAAGAGCTTTAAAAACACTATTAGCATATATGCAGCATGTAATTGCACAAATGAAGACTTAAGTCCCAATTAACTGTGAGGGCAACACTTTAGCAGAGCCCTTTCCAGCTGCCACTTCCTGATGGGGAAAAGCTGCCCAGGGGGTCTTTTCCTCAAGTGCCCAGTAATTTCAAAGGAATACTAATTAAAAGAAGTTAGAGTCAAGTGTTTAAAAAACATATATTTATTGGGAAAGTGAACATTTACCATACATAACCAGTACTCATCTCCTCACCTCTCATTTGGCTCCCTGAGTCCCGACTTAAATGGGTTACATAATACTGTTTAAAGCTCCCCACCTCCTTCAGCAAGACACTCTCAAGAGGGTCATTTGCCATGTAAAGAAAGGGCACATGATGAGATGCTATCTTGCTCAATTTCCTCTCCATTTCACAAGCAGCAGCTAATGAAGCAGACCGTGAGCCCAGAAACAAAGAG